ACTACTATATGTCTTGGGGTTGGACTTTTAATGATGATAAAGTTTGGAGATCTATTAGCTTCTGTCACATGGGTTTCCAGCTCTCTCCCCAGTTTGGGAAGTTCTCAGCTAGTATTTCTTTGAACAAGCTTTCTGCCCCGTTTGCCTTCTCTTCTCCCTCTGGGATACCTATAATCCTTATATTGCATCTCCTAATTGAGTTGGGTATTTCTTGGAGAGTTTCTTCATTTCTTTTTAGTCTTAGTTTTGCTCCTCCTCTATCTGAAGTATTTCTATATTCCTATCCTCCAAATTACTAATTCTGTCCTCCATATTATCAGCCCTACTGTTCAATGAGTCTAGATTTTTCTTCACCTCTTCTATTGTGTTTTTCATCTCCAACAATTCTGATTGGTTCTTCTTTATATTTGCAAGTCCTTTTGTGCTGTAGCTCCTGATCTTGTTGAGTTGTCTATCTGTATTCTCTTTTAACTCATTGACTTTTTTAGTGATAGCTATTTTGAATTCTTTGTCATGTAGGTTACAGATTTCTGTGTCTTAGGGATTGTTTTCTGGGTACTTGTCATTTTCCTTCTGTTCTGGAGATTTAATTTTTTTTTCATATTGCTTGACAGCTTGGATTTGTGCCTTCGCATAGAGATAGAGATTGGTTACTGCTTCCACTTGTTGCCACTGGGGGAGAGGGTGCAGCAGCTGTGTAATCCCACACCAACTAGGATCCCTGTCAGGTGTTCCTGACCAAGGCTGGGCACCTCCTTGGGCTCACAGTGGCCCTGTGAGGTATCCCGTCAGCTGTGGGAACAATCACAAGGGGGCTTCAGGTTGTTGGTGCCTGCTCTCACAGACCCACCTAGACACACTCCCTCCTTAGGGTCTGCAGTGGTGTTATGGGCTTTCACAGCAGCTGGGAGCTGACTCGCCTAGATTCACAGCTCTGCCACTGTCTGATCCTTCAGGATCTCACTTGCCCACTCTGGGCCACAGCAGAGCTATGGGCATCTAATGCAGCCAGTGGTTAGCACACCCAGCCATGCCACTTCTGCTCTTTGGTTGCCTGGCCTTTGTGGTTGGTGGGCAGGGCTTCTTCACTAGGGCTGATCAGAAACTCTCCTTGTGGCTGGTGTGGGACCATGGATTTCCCCCTCGGACCAAGAAGCAGTTACACTGGGGCTCTGGATTGTCACAGCCTGCTCGTGCAGTCCTGCTGGATCTCACTTGCCCCCTCTGGGCCGCAGCAGGGCTGTGGGTGTTTAATGCAGCCAGCAGGTAGCTCACCTGGCTGAGCCACTTCTGCCCCAGCACTCTCAGCTTTTGTGTTTGTTGGGCGGAGCCTCTCCACTAGGGCCAACCAGAGAATGTCCCTGTGGCTGCTGTGGGATCATGGATTTTCCCCTGGACTAAGGAGCAATCACTGGGTCTTAGGGCTGTAGTCACCCATTTCCACAGTCATGCTGCCGATGCACACGCCCCGCCCCGCCCCCCCCACCCCCCCCCGCCGCCTCAATGCCATGGCAATGCTATAAGTGTGTCAGCTAGGAGAGTCACTTGCTGGTACTAGGCTCTCTAGAGGCCTAGAGAGTTTTCCTCTATCTCCACCTCCTCCCTGGGGGTAGCCCATCCACCTTCCAATGTATAGCAGGGTGGGTCTCTCAGGCGTCCTGAGGTGCTGTGGGAGTATCCTCTATTGATCAGTGAATGTTCAATTAGTTGTAGTTTGAAGGGCGAGAGACAAAGAAAACTGCTCACTCCACCATGTTGCTGACATCTTCTAATTTTTAGTAGTTTTAATCACAAATATTAATTTGAATTTCAACCCTTAGAAACCTTAATTTTTAGTAAAAACTAAGAAACAAGCAATTATGAACTGTATTTTACATTATCATTCTTTGGCTTGGCAAGTTTATAAATACTTTTTATAATTTCTAGAAACATGCTACTCTATAGTACAACCTTTTTTTTTTTAAAGATTTTATTTTTTCCTTTTTCTCCCCAAAGCCCCCCGGTACATAGTTGTGTATTCTTCGTTGTGGGTTCTTCTAGTTGTGGCATGTGGGACGCTGCCTCAGCGTGGTCTGATGAGCAGTGCCATGTCCGCGCCCAGGATTCGAACCAACGAAACACTGAGCTGCCTGCAGCGGAGCGCGCGAACTCAACCACTCGGCCACGGGGCCAGCCCCATATAGTACAATCTTTTTAATAAAACACAAGACATGCTTACTGATAGACCCAAATATCTTTTGGTTTCTCTGTAATATGAAGCCAAAAGTAGATAAACCTGTATTTTGTAATAAATGTCTAATATTTTAGCTTATTTGGAAATGACTTAGATACTCAATAAATTTCTATTATTTAACTTAATTTAACAAAGCTGTAAGGTTTAAAGTTACCAAAAAGTTTTGAAGCTATTTTAAGTACATACACCATTAACACACAATTATTGTCAAAAAGTTCACCCAAAAACTTTCATCTTATTCATACGTATTTATTTTACTTATTTCCAATAATTATGTTTAGATGACTCATGAAAAATTCATTAGACAAAATTACCTTATCATTTTAAGTTGTTATTTTTCTGACAACTTTGTAACATAGATAACATGAGCTTATTTGACCAGTAAACCCAGGCTACTTGTCTGCATCATATTCAATGCTGATAACTCTGAGGACATGCCTATTTTAATTAAGCCAACAAACTTAAACAAGCTTTTGTTTACCAAAGATTACTTTATATCACATTAACTTGAAAGACATTTGGGTTAGGTTCTATTACATTTAGAAATAATTTATATAAATGATTACTTTAAGCCAGTTAAATAGAGCTTTTAATTTGGCCATACCATGCAGAGGTAGAAAAATATCTCACATTGTATAGGTTTGGGCAACCCTATTGACTTTCATTAGCATGTTTAATTAACATTGTCTGAAGGGGAGATTTATATGCTGTCTTACAATATCAATACTGGGGTAATGTTTCCCCCAATGAGAAACAATGTCTATCCCCACAATACAATTTATAATACAATCATGCAAAAGACATATAATCACTTAATTCCATAAACTCTTATACCCTAATCATAGCTTTCATTAGGACTTCATCAACAAGTTTGGGTCTTATAATATTAGATATGGGAAGCATTCCTAGTCAGACATAAGGTCTACTTTCAAAAAAAAACCACTCAGGTAAAGTTGACATAACCTCTTCATATAACATTAGCTCAAATATTCCAAACTTTATAATGCCATAAACCCTTATACCTTTATGTTTTTTTGAATCTAATTGTAGCCTGAATCAGGGTGTTAAGCCTAGTCATTAGTTTTTTTGTATTTTATTTTTAATTTTATCTTATATAGTTACCAATAAAACAATTATGATGAGAGCTCTCTAAAAATTTTTCCAATTTATAAGTTTTTCCAATTTAAATGATTTATTCTCTGCCCATTGACAAGTAGGATATTAATAGTAACTCATTCCAATAAGCCTTTTATGGCATAACCATGAATGCAAAAAGAGAGTGCAAAAGAAGTGGTCCCCATAAGATCCAGACAGTTCCCCTAAAAATAGTCTAAGAAAGCAAAGGCCTTCATTGCACACGCGGAGTGCACTAACAAACAATGATGGTTGAGATGACAAAGGCCCTTATGGACTGGGACCCCATATGACAAACTGCCCTGAGAGCTGACACAGCCAGAAAAAGAAACTGCGTCTTGGAACCCCAGTCTATTTGACTGGCTGCAAAAATGCATGCCAGTATGTGCACCCTCTGGATGGCAGAGACCACAGAGGTCACATAGCCAAGCTATCAAGACATAGAACCAGACAAAAGAAGAAAAATCTCATGACAAATGACACAAAGACAGAGACAAGGAAAAATAGTAATCATCTCTAGGAGGAGAAACATCAATAAACCAATGAGTACTCAAACCAAATTTCCCAGAGTCATTGAGACCAAGAAGATAGCTTCACCAATATTTTCTCCTGCTGGTCTAAATTTAGAAAGGGAGAAAATAATCACTACTCTCACTTCCATTGGACCCTTCTGGCAGAGATCCTGGAGACTGATGTGGTAAGAACCCTTACTTCTGCTGGCTCTCTCAGCGGCAGTAGTCCCAGATTGAGCAGTGTCCAGCCAGTTTTCTCCCATCCTTGTTGCCAAACTGTAGGGGAGGAAGACAATTCCTCTACCCTCTAGGTCTTTCTGGCTTGTCTAATAATCAAATTGACATAAGACAGAGTAACAAGAGAAACTCAAAGTTTAATGACATCTACACACGGGAGAGACCCAGGAAAACTGAGTAACTTGCCAAAACGGCAGAAGCCACCACATTAAATATACCGTCTTCAGCTAAAGACAAAGGAGGATGTTGGGGGTAATGGTTTGGGACTTCAAATGGGAGGAAGACAATTTACATGGAGATGGAAAAGCAAACGTTTGATAAGACGCTTGCTTGGCCATCCATAGACAATGTGACGCAAGTGACACAGAACTTTGATAAAAATGGGCTTAGCAAAGATCCTCCCAGTCTAATGACCTGTCTTAGGAGAGGTCTTTTATCTTAAATTCTTTTAGGTAGTTAGGGGGAAGGTCAAATTTCTGTCACAGTCTTTTGTCCTTAAAAATAATCAAGCCAAAGAGACACATTTTGGGGTGGCAAATTCTCATCCCCTGCGCTAGCAAGCCTATGAAACATCTCCGGCAAAGGAAGGATTTCAGCGCCTGCAGAGCTGCTTTTCAACCGTGGCACGTCACATCACTCATCTCCCCACCAAAATCACCACTCAGCCCAGCCTCACAAGCAGGAGGATCAGTTCCCCACATCCCATTAGGAAGCTCGCCAAGGTGGAGGGCAAGTACAGCCCCTGATCTGAGTCTCACAAGGCTAGCGTAGGGTCAGGAGCGGTGCCCCAGGCAGACGTGCGAGACTTTTGCGCGGCGGAGCTTTACGGTAATTCTGCGCGGCGGAGCTTTACGGTAATTCTGCGCGGCGGCCCCGCTCTCGTGCGCAGGCGCGGAGCCGTTGTCGGCGGAGCGGTTGCGAGCCCAGCGGCTACCCTAACGGGCTCGCTAAGGGGCTGGAGCGTGCGGGTTCGGAGGCCGGCGGGGCGGCTCGACCCAGCCTGAAGCCCCGGCGGCCGCCTCCTCTGGGGTCTTGGGTAAGCCGACGGCCCTGCCGAGCAGCCACCCGGGAAGCACCCTCCCGGCGCTGGGGATTCGAGGACGCAGGGCGCTGATGAGGTCCAGCCCTGAAGCCGCCCCGGGCCCCCCTGCGGGGGACAGCGGAGAGAGCGGGTGACACCTCCTTGGGGAAACCGAGGCCCGACGTGGAGCCCGGGAGGAGGGCTGGAGCGCTGGCTCCGGGCGCCACCCCCTCCCATCCTCGGCCAGTGGCTCAGCACAGGACAGGAGCCGGGGTTCTCCGGGGAAACTGAGGCCCGATGGCAGTCCAGAGGAGGCGGCGTGGGCTCTGGGTCCTGGACACCCCCCCCCCCTCCCCCCCACCCCCTCCCCCACCCCTCCCCCCCGCCCCTCCCCCCACCCCTCCCCCCCGCCACGAGGTGAGGGGGCGGGGACATGCAAGACAGCAGGGGGAGCGTTCTGGGCTTTTCCTGCAAGGTTCCAACCCAGCTGCCTCATTCCTCCCTCCCGCCTTGGTCTCAGGAGGCTGCCAGAGGCTGTAAACCCTGCCTCCCTCCCAGAGCGGATGGAGCAGTCACTTTTATCGAACTCAAACAGGTTTTTTAACTGGCCGCACAGGAGGGCCGATAACTGGAACGTCAGGCTTGTGGCAAGGAAAGAGGGTTGTTATCGAAAGGCAGCCTGACATGGAGAGGGACTTAAAACTCAAATCCACCTTCTGGAAGGGAAGAAGGTAGGGGTTCTTATTTGGGGTTTTAGGGTGGGGTGGGGGAGCATGTGCCTTGCTGGCTGGTGCGTTCCCACCAGCCTGCTTTTGGCTTTGAATGCTGAATTTCTATTCCCTTGATTGTACTTTTCTGGTTAGTTTTCATCTTCTGCCTGCATTTGGCCTTGTGAGGCTGCATCTTGACGTTTGGTCCGTGACTTCTTGGGAGAAACAGCTCACTTGTGTATACTACCCTGGGGGGTAGGAAGGTGCTCTGGCCTTTTCCTGCCAAGTTCAAACCCAGCTGCCTCTTTCCCCCGTCCCCCTGTGCCAGGAGACTGCCTGAGGCTGTCAACTCTGCATCCCCTGCCTGAGCAGAAACTGGACCTTGTCCCTAGCAGAATCTCTGGAGGAGATGATGCCTGTTGCAATTTCCTTGGGCCCATTTGCAGTAAGGCTTTTGTCTCCCTGATCCCTAGGATCCGTTCGCATGAATCCCGTCCTGGTGGTCCACGGCGGGGCAGTCAGGATTGTTGACAAGGACCAGAAAGAGCCGGTGCGCCAGGGCATCATCAGAGCTGCCACCGTGGGTTACAACATCCTCAGGGAAGGAGGGAGCGCAGTTGACGCCGTGGAAAGTGCTGTGACCGTCCTGGAAGATGATCCCGAGTTCAACGCAGGTAAATTTGCCCTGCCACTAGTAAATGATGCCTGATCGAGTTAAGCTTCTCCCTGAAAGGAAATAAAATCTTTCGAAAGTGTCACTGAATCTCATTAGCTTTGTGGTAAAACTTAATATGTTGAAGAGATTTGATTTTTCTCTTTTTACCTGTTGACCAAGTTGTTTTAAAGAATTTTTAAACCCATTAATTCACCCTTTTTTCTTTAACCTGCTTCCCAGAATTCACATACCAAGAGGCTCTTTTATTACATCTTTTTGTGGGAGATGGAGTAGATTATACACCATAAACTGTACCCATTTTAAGTTTGGAAAAATGTGTACACCTCTGTAACCATACCACAACCAAGATCTAAAACATTTCCATTGCCCCCAAAAGTTCCTTTGCAGTTAATCACCCCCTCCCATCCCCAGCACCAGGCATCCACTGCCCTGCTTCTGTCACTATAGATGAATTTGCATTGTCTAGAATTTCATAGAAATGCAATCATGCAGAGTGTATTGTTTTGTGTTTGGCTTCTTTCACTCAATCGAGCCTTTTTTGGAGCAATAATCGTCATAACTACTATGAGTGTCTACTGTGTACCCAGTAAGGGTCTAAGAAATTTGTGTGATTAACTCACTCCATCTGCACTATAGTCATATGTGTTAGGTGTAATTATTAATGCTCATTTCTCAGATGAGAAAACTAGGGCACAAAAAGGTTAAGTAATTTGCTGGAAGACACTCCTTCCCTCTTTATTTTAAAATAGAAAACTTAAAATCTAGGGATTAAAATACTTCTTGGCATTTACACTACCCACCCAACGTCTATCAGGGAAAAGAATTTCAGGAAATCTTAAATTAGTCAGCAAATGTTTACTGAGCATTTGTTCTATCCCGTTGCCTCTGCTAAGCATTCTTTAACACTTAAGAAAAATTTCATAAGTGTGCCTGTCTATAGAATGAGGCATAACTGCATTTTTATGGCTGTTTGTTGAGCCAGAATTTTCTAGAAACTCCCCCCTGCCAGCCGGGGGAGCAGCCCGCAGTTTCAGTGGGGGACTTGTTAAACTGTATGCCTGTTAGTAGTCGGGCCCCTCTTGGCTGACAAACCCCCTCTTATTCACACAGGACCCTCATTTGGAGCAGGTCGTTGTGGTCTCCTGCCTTCTCTGACAGGATCTGTCATCTGCATGAACTGGGAAGAATGGGTTAGGGAATTGAGCAGCTGGTTCTCCTTTCTTTGGTCTCTCTTCCTTCTGAGCATCTCCTTTCCGATTTCCCAGATATCTGCTGTTCAGCACATTGAGGGAGAAGAAAGTAGGGCCGGAAAGAAGAAAATCAAAGATTTGGGGAGAAAGGAGGACTTGTAACAGCATACTGTCTGCCTTGGGCTCTGTTTTCCATTTTCTTTTCCCAGCTGAGGTTGATATGAGCAAACAGTATTTCCAGCAGCCGCTGCTATAATCCGCTAGAATAACTATTGGGGAACTTTGTACAAAAAGCTGACTCCTGGTAGTTATTGAGCTTAGTGGCAATAATTAGCATTCATAACACAACTTACCTGAATCTTTGTAATAGCATTGTTTACATTGTATTCACATTTAAGTATGGTTTTCACTTTATGTTTAAAGCTTGTTTCATAATACTTAGTTTATTAAAAAGTAGTTTATTAGAAACTAGCACTGTAAAAACTGAACTTTTAGATTTAAATGCTAGAAATATCCTTTAAAGGCAACCAAATAATGACCCTTTGCTCTCAATGGAATAGAGCAGCATTTACACAGAACTTTAAAGAGTTAATTTATTCTCCCTACAGTTCAATTTTATAAGCCATCGAAGAGTCTTTGAGATAATAGGATTTTAATTTATCCACCGTCTTCCTGAATGTCTTATAATGTAACATCTATAAGATAAAAATCTGTGATGGGGTCTAGGAATTTATTTGTTTTGAAGATTTACAGGTGATTCTGAAGTACAACCAGGTTTAGAGTCCGTTAACCTGATACCATACCATTTTAATGGATTTTTTTAAAGTATCATTTGTATGTAGTAAAGTTCCAGTTTTTAGTGTACAGCTCCACATATGTGGCAGACATGAGTAGTCATGTAACCGCCACCACAATCCAAACATAAAACAGTTCCGGGGCCGGCCTGGTGGCGCAGCAGATAAGTGCACACGTTCTGCTTCGGTGGCCCAGGGTTTGCCGGTTCGGATCCCGGGTGTGGACATGGCACCGCTTGGCAAGCCATGCTGTGGTAGGCGTTCCACGTATAAAGTAGAGGAAGATGAGCATGGATATTAGCTCAGGGCCAGTCTTCCTCAGCAAAAAGAGGAGGATTGGCAGCACATGTTAGCTCAGGGCTAATCTTCCTCAAAAAAAAAAAAGAAAAAAGAAGAAAGAAAGAAAAAAAAGAGAAAAAATATATGTAAAACAGTTCCGTTACTCAAAAATGACCCTTTGAGTCCACACCTCCGTTCACCCCTAGTCCCTGGCAACAACTCTTGTGTTTTCCGTCCCTATGGTTTTGCCTTTTCCAGAATGTCATAAATGGAATCATACAATATGTAGCCTTTAGAGTCTGGATTCTTGACTTAGCGTAATGCTTTGGAGGGTTATCCATGTTGACACAAGTATTTGTAGTTTATCCCTTTTTATTGTTGAGTGCTATTCCATTGTAGGGATATACCACCAGATTAGTTATTCACTACCTGAATGACATGTTCAATTTGGGGCCATTACGAGTCATGGTAAACATTTGCATGCAGGTTTTTGTGTGAACATGTTTTTGTTTCTTGTGAGTGAATAGCTTAGGTGTGGGATTGCTGATCATATGGAAGTATATATTTAACTTTATTTGAAACTGCCAAGCTGTTTTCCAAAGTGCCTACTGTTTTCTGTTCCCACCAGCAAGGTATGAAAGTTCTAGTCACTCTGCATCTTCACCAACACTTGGTATTGTCAGTATGTTTCATTTTAGCCACTCTAATAGGTGTATGGTAGAACTCATGCTAGTGTTAATTTGCATTTCCTTAATGGCAAATGATGTTTATTTAACATCTTTCAAGTCTTTTGTCAATTTCTTTATTGATTTTTTTTCTTATTACTGAGTTTTAAGAATTTTTTATGTATTCTAGAAATAGGTCTTTTATCAGATACAGGCATACCTCATTTTATTGTGCCCTGCTTTAATTGCACTTCACTTTGTTGTGTTTTGTTTTTTACAAGACTCTCCACCAGCAAAAAGATTACAGCTTGCTGAAGGCTCAGATGATGGTTAGCATTTTTTAGCAATAGAGTATTTTTTAATTAAGTTACGTAAATTGGTTTTTTAGACATAATGCTATTGCATACTTAATAGAGTACAGTATCAGGAAACATAACCGTGTGCACCGGGAAACCAAAAAAATTCGTGTGACTTGCTTTATTGCCATACTCACTTTATTGCAGTGGACTGGAACCAAACCTACAATATCTCTGAGGTCTGCCTGTATGTGATTGCAGATATTTGCTCCCAGTCTGTGGCTTGTCTTTTCTTTCTCTTAGTGTCTTTCAGAGAACAGAAGTTCTTAATTTTGTCCAAGTCCAATTTATCAGTTTTTTTAATGGATCATGCTTTTTGTGTCATATCTTAAGACATACTTGCCAAACCCAGAGACACAAACATTTTTCTCTTTTATTTTCTTCTAGAAATTTCCTAGTTCCAGGTTTTTGATTGAGGTCTATGATCGTTGCTAATAAGTTTTTGTATATGGAGCGAGGTGTGTATCAAGGTTCAGTTTTGCGTCATTGTTCCAGCACCACTTGTTGAAATGACAATCCTTTCTCCATTGAAATGCCCTTTCACTTTTGTCAATAATCAGTTGACTTTATATTTATGGGTGTATTTCTGGACTCTCTTCTGTTCCATTTGTCTATATGTGTGTGCTTTCACTAATACCATAATGTCTTGATTACTGTAGTTTTATGTTTTTTCTTAAAATCAGGTAGTAAGAGTCTTGCAGCTCTATTTTTTTCATGTTTGTTTTGGCTGCTCTAGTCCCTTTCCCTTCCCACAAGTTTGAGAATCACTTTGTCAATTTCTACAAAAAAATCCTGCTAGAATTTTTATTAAGATTGTGTTGAATGTACAGGTTAGTTTGGAGAGAATTGAAATGTTAGTACTGAGCCTTCTGGTGTGTGAACACAGTATATACTTCCATTTATTTAGATGTTCTTTGATTTCTTTTATCAGTGTTTTGTAGTTTTCAGCATACAAAGCTTAGATTTATACCGAATTATTTCATGTATTTTGGTGCTGTCGTAAGGACTACTTTTTAAAATTTTAATTACCAATTGTTCATTGCTAGTATATGAATATACAATTGACTTTTTTCATATGCTTATTTGCCGTCTTTGGTGAGGTGTCAGTTAAGGTCTTTGACTCGTTTTCTAATCAGGTTGTTTATTTCCTTATTGTTGAATGTTAAGACTTCTTTGTGTATTTTAGATAGCAGTCCTTTATCAGATAGGTCTTTTACAAGTAGTTTCTCCCGGTCTGTGCCTTGTCTTTTCATTCTCCTGACAGTGTCTTTCATAGGGCAGAAATTTTTCATTTTAATAAAGTCCACCTTAATAATTTTTTCTTTCATGGTTCATGCCTTTGGTATTGTATCTGAAAAGCCAAACGCAAGGTCGTCTAGGTGGTCTTCCATGTTATCTTCTAGGAATTTTATCATTTTGCATTTTACGTTTAGGTCTGTGATCAATTTTGAGTTAATTTTTGTGAAGGGTTTAAGATCTATGTATACTTTCAGTTTTTGGCGTATGGATGTCCAGTTGTTCCAGCACTATTTGTTGAAAAGACTTATTTTTACTCCATTGTATTGCTTTTATTCCTAAGATTCTTCACCCGATTCCAATGGTGTGGGTTTTTCCGTACCACCAAGCAATTGTCAGACACCAGCTGGGTGTCTTAAATCCAGCTCAATTCTGACACTGTTTACCCAGAGATAGCATCAGATTCCACAGGTTAGGGGCTCAGTCCCACAGGAGTGCCCTCCACTTCAGATGCCAGTTGCAAGTCCAGGTTGTAACCTCTGCTTCTGGCAGACTGGCTATAGATCAAAGGTTCCCTTGACCCTCTCCTTGGGTTGGATTAATGTGCTAGAGTAGCTCGCAGAACTCAGGAAGCCAATTTACTCACTAGATTACTGTTTTACAGTATTAAAGAGGATGTTAAAGGATATGAATCAACAAGTAGATGAAGAGATACCTAGGGTGACATCCTCTGTCCCTGTGGAGTTTGGAGCCCAGCATAGTGGCATGTTAAAGTGTTCTGGTTCACTGTCCTGGAAGCTCTCTGAACCCTGTCCTTTTGGGTTTTATGGAGGCCTCATTACTTAGGCATGGTTGAGTAAATCACTGGCCATTGGTGATTGATTCACCCTCCAGCCCTTCTCTCCTCCCCAGAAATCAGGGAGTGGGGCTCAAAGTTTCAACCCTTTATTCATAGTTGGTTCCTATGGCACAGCCCCCATCTTTAGGGGATTCCTAAAAGTTGCCTCGTTAACATAAACTCAGTTGTAGTGGAACAGGGCTTGTTATGAGTAACAAGACACCCATTTCACCTTTGTGGCTTCAAAGCAATTTCAGGAACTGAGGACAAAAGACCAAATATTGTAACAAAAGATACTCCCATTGCTCTCATGCTTTAGGAAATACCAAGGGTTTTGGGAGCTGTGAGCCAGGAACTGTGGACAAAGACCAAAATATACATTTATTATAAATCATGGTATCACAGCTCCTTTGTCAAAGATCAGTGTTTATTTGGGTCTGTTTCTGGGCTCTCTATTCCGTTTAATTGATCTGTTTGTCTATTCTTTTGCTGGTACCACACTGTCTTGATTATTGTAGCTATGTAGTAAGTATCATCTGCAAATAAAGACAGTTTTATTTCTTCTCTCTGATCTTTATGCCTTTTCTTTCTTTCCTTGCCTTATTGTTGAATAAGAATGGTGAGAGCAAACACACTTGCATTTTTTCCAATCTTAGAGGGATAGCAGTGTCTTTCACCATTAAGTATGACGTTGGTTGTAGGAATTTACAGATGCCCTTCCTCAGATTGAGCAGGTCCCATTATTCTTAGTTTCCTGAGATGTTTTTCTCTCATGAATGGATGTTGAATTTTATCAAATCCTTTTTCTGCATCTATTGAGATACCATGTCGTTTTTCTTTTGTCTATTGATAGGGTGAATATTAATTGATTGATTTTTGAATTTTGAACCAACTTTGCATCCCTGGGATTAACACCACTTTGTTGTGATGTTGTGATAGGTTTTTCTTCTCTGATGCTTGGTTTGATTTGATAGTGTTTTCTTGAGAATTTTGTATCTGTATTCATGAGGGATACTGGTCTGTAGTTTTATTTTCTTATGATATCTGTCTAGTTTTGATATGAGAATAGTGCTGGCTTCATATGAATTGAAATGTGTGCCATCCTTTTCTGTTTTTCTTGAAGAGTTTGTATAAAATTATATGATTCCTTTGTAGATATTTGGTAGAATTTGCCAGTGAAGCCATCTGGGGCTCGAGTTTGTTTTTTGTTTTGTTTTGAAGGAAAGTTTTTACTAAAATTGGCTTCTTTAATAGGCATGGGAGTATTCAGGTTATCTCTTTCTTTGAGTGAGCTTCAGGGAACTAGCTTTTGGCTTGGGGAGGGTTTTTTGGATTTTCTTGTTTTTCCTTTTACTGTTTTTCTGTTCTAAATTTCATTGATTTATCTTTATTGTCTCCTTTCTTCAGCTTGTCTTGGGAATAATTTGCTTTTCTTTTTCCCGTTAGATCATTAATGTGAGATCATTTTTTTCTAATTCAAGCGTTTAATGCTTTAAATTTTACACTAAGTATTACTTTGATTGCATCCTACAAGTTTTTACACATTGTCTTTTCATTTTCATTCTGTTCAAAATGTGTTCCAATTTCCCTTGTGATTCCTCTTTAAACCATGGGTTATTTAGAAGTCTGATACTTAATTTCCAAATATTTGTGGATTTTCCAAATATTTTTAATTTAATTCTGTTACCATCAAAGGACATATTTTGTGTGATTTGCCTTCTTTTAAATTTTGTAAGCTTTGTTTTTGGCTGAGAAGATGGTCTCTCTTGGTAAATATCCCATTTGCACTTCTAAAGAACATACTGGATGCAGTTGTTGGGTGGAAAGTTCTGTAAATCTTGATACGATCAAGTTGGTTGATAATGTTGTTCATATCTTCTATATCTTGATTTTCTGTCTATTCATTACTGAGAGAGGAGTGGTGAAGTCTTTAATTGCAATTGTGGATTTTTCTATTTCTCCTTTGAGTTCTATAAGTTTTTGCTTCGTTTATTCTGAAGCTGTTGTTCAGTGCATAGATTGTTGTCTTCTTGGTAAATTGACCTCTTTATTATTGCTTAATGTCCTCATTATCATTTAATGTTCCTTGTTCTGAAGTATACTTTGCCTGACATTAATATATCTACTCCAGGGGCCGGCCCGGTGGCGCAGTGGTTAAGTTCGCACGTTTCCCTTCTCAGCGGCCCGGGGTTTGCCGGTTCGGATCCCGGGTGTGGACATGGCACTGCTTGGCAAGCCATGCTGTGGTAGGCGTCCCACGTATAAAGTAGAGGAAGATGGGCATGATATTAACTCAGGGCCAGGCTTCCTCAGCAAAAAAGAGGAGGACTGGCAGTAGTTAGCTCAGGGCTAATCTTCCTCAAAAAAATAAATAAATAAATAAAAATATATCGACTCCAGCTTTCATTTGATTTATTTTGTCATGGTATAACTTTTCAATTCTTTTACTTTTAAACTACTTGTGTCTTTATGTTTAAAGTAGATTTCTTATAGGCAGAGTATGATTGTCTTATCTTTTATACAAGTTGACAATCTCTGCTTTTTTGGGGGATGTTTAGACCATTTACATTTAATGTGATTATTGATATGGTTAGGTATAAATTGTCATCTTGCTATTTGTTTTCTATTTTTCCAATCTATTCATTGTTTATTTTTTCCTCTCTTTCTGCCTTTTTTTGGAATGATTGAATGTTGTATATGATTCCATCTTACCTCCTTTGTTGGCCTAGTAGCTAGACTTCTTTTTTTTAAGGGTTGTTTTAGGGTTTGTAGTATACCTCTTTCACTTGTCACCATCCACCTTCAAGTGATAATAGCGCTTCATGCATTGTGCTGTAACACTGCAACAGCATACTTCTGTTTCCCCTCTCCTGGCCTTTGTGCTATTATTATCATATATTTTACTTCTGTGTATATTATCAATTGCCCAATACATTATTATTTTTCTTTTAAACAGTTATATTTTAAAGTTATTTTAAAAATAAAGGGAAAAAATATTTCTGCTTATCCACACATTAGCCGTTTCCAGTGCTCTTCATTCTTTTGTGTGGATCCTGATTGCTACGTGCTGTCATTTTCCTTCTGCTTGAAGAACTTCCTTTAACATTTCTTCTATTGCTCATGTGATACTGATCAATTCTTTCAGCTTTAGTGTGTCTGAAAAAGTCTTTGTTTTCTTTTTTTGAGAGATACTTTCGCCAGGTATAGAATTTCAACATGACTGGTTTTTTCTTTCAGGTCTTTAAAGATGTTGCTACATGGTCTTCTGGCTTACATCATTTCTGACAAGAAATAAATTTTGTCTTTTTTCCTCTCTACCTAATGGTATGCCTGGGTGTAGTTTTCTTCATATTTCTTTTCCTTGGAGTTTATTGAGCTTCTCAGATCTGTGAATTTATAGTTTTCATGAAATTTGAAAATGTTTTATCCATTATTTCCTTAAATATTTTTTTTGTTTCTCTGTCTCACCTCTACTTTCGGGAACTCCAGTTATACATACATTGGGCTTCTTGAAATTGTCCCTGAGTTCAGTGATGCTCTGTTCTTTTTTTGTTTTTTTTTTCAGTCTTTTTTGGTTTTCTCATTTTGGATAGTTTCTATTGCTGTGTCTTTAAGTTCATAAACCTTTTCTACTGCAGTGTCTGATCTGGTGTTAATACTATCCAGTGTATTTTTCATTTCAGACTTCTTTTTTTCATCTCTAGAAGTTCTGTTTGGGTCCTTTTTATATTTTCCTCCACATTCTGGTACACATGGAATATAGTTATAACAGCTGTTTTAACATCTTTGTCTACTGCTTCTATCATTTGTGTCGTTTCTGGGTCTGTTACTGTCAGTTGAGTGTTTTTCTCTTCATTATGGGTCACGTTTTCCTGTTTCTTTGTGAGCCTGGTAATTTCTTATTGGATACCAGACATTGTGAAGTCTATCTTGTTAGTTGCTGGATATTTTTATAATCCTTTAAATATTCTTGAGCTTTGTTCTTATCCCATTTTACAGATGAGGCAACAGGCACAAAAAGGTTAAGAACAGCTAGACTTATAGACATCATCTAGGCATATTGGAGAAAGAGTGCTAGTGATAAAGAGAACAGAATGTGCAAGAGTGAAGAGGAATGACACAGTAATGAGAGCTTTTGGCACTTTCAGAGAAACCTAGTATTTCAGTAAAGCATAGCCAAGGAGAGGAGATGTGGCTAGAAAAGTAAGTCAGAGGCCAGATCAGAAAGCACTTCATACTTTTTATTGTGTGGGTCATGGGGTGCCAAGTCAGATTTGTGTTTTAAAAATTTTTCCTCTGGTAATGGGGTAGAGGATGAATTGAAGTAGGCAGCCTAGAGGAAACTAAACCTATTTCTAAATTCCTAATTCTTCTTTTTTAACCTGTTTTTGGTTTTAGGTTTTGGATCTGTCTTAAACACAGACGGTGAAGTTGAAATGGATGCCAGTATCATGAACGGAAAAGACCTGTCTGCAGGAGCCGTGTCTGCAGTCCGCTGTGTAGCAAATCCCATTAAACTTGCGCGGCTTGTTATGGAAAAGGTATATGTGATAATAAAGCATCCTTCTCCTATGGAATTGTTACTTGTGTACTCTGGTGACTAAAAGGGGTCTGACTGTAGGAAATACTTGAGATCACTGTTCTCCTAAAATTATATAAAAGAATGGAAGCCGTGTTATTTAAGTTTCTCGACTAAGCCAAGATTCTGACTCTGTTGACAATGTAGTTTGAATAGTAATCATTTAACCAGTGATTACTTTGTTTTCATGTTATCCTGTATTTTCTTTAGCCTTCTCTCCACACGTATAACACACACAAACTCAACACACCCACTGTTCAATAGCATGTGTCAAATAAAAATGGATTAAGTTCGCTAAATTTAAGGTCATACGTAAGTCACATTCCTAGTACTATTCCACCATTTTTGAGTTTTTTTTAAAAATACAAAAACTCAGAGGACCAAGCTGGTTCCAACATCCGGAAAAGCAAGCCAGTGGAATCTGCATTTTTGAGGCTTTGTACCCAGAGAAGTAATTATTTCTACACCTTTCAAACAATGAAAAAGATTTTAACTTTTTCAAAAAACTAACCATTTTCCCTTTCTTTCTGGCTCTAGACACCTCACTGCTTTCTGACTGATCAAGGTGCAGCAAAATTTGCAGCAGCCATGGGGATTCCAGAGGTTCCTGGAAAGCAGTTGGTAACAGAGAGAAACATAAAACTCCTAGCAAAGGAGAAGCATGAGAAAGATGCTCAGAAATTAGACTGCCAAAAGTAAGTGTCATCTGCGGCTCATGTGTTTGGGATTTATTCAAGTGTGAAAGTTTGACAGATATCTGGTTATATACATTTCTTAAGTAAATCTAATATCACTTGGTAGTTTCAGTTTTCATACAAAATAATTCACACTAAATAATGGAAAAACTGCTCTTTTCTTAAATTTAACCTCATTTATTACTCCTGTGAATAGCAACTTGAATTAGGCTACCAGAGTTCCTCTCCAACATAATTTAGTAAGAGAATGCCTTGTGTTAATGTGTTAACTATCTGGACGCTTCTTGATCAGTTTGTTGTCTTAAGTACAGGAGTCCCCCTTATCCACAGTTTCACTGTCAGTGGTGTCAGTTACCCCTAGTCAATTGCACTCTGAAAATATTAAATGGAAAATTCCAGAAATAAACCATTCATAAGTTTTAACTTGCACGCCAGTCTGAGTAGTGTGAGGAATCTCTCGCCCTCCCACCCTGTCCTGCGGAGAGGTGAATCATCCCTTTGTCCATCGTGTCCGTGCTGTGTACGCTCCCCGCTCATTAGTCCCCTAGTAGCTGTCTCGGTTGTCAGAGCGACAATCATGATATCACAGTGCTTATGTTCAGGTAACCCTTATTTTACTTCATAATGGCCCCAAAGCCAACTTTATTATTAGTTATTGTTGTGGATCTTTTACTGTACCTAATTTATACATTAGACTTTATCAAACATGGTATATATATGGTTTGGTACTGTCCAAAGTTTCAGGCATCCACTGGGGGTCTTGGAATGTATCCCCCTCAGATCGGGGGGACTACTGTAGACTAAACAGGTTCTCTGTGGTCTAGTGTACCCTGTGATCTTACTTAAGCACTCTTTCATAGTGCAGAGAAATCAGTAAACTCTGATAAGTCTGAGTTAATGATATGTTCTGAATTACAGTTTTCTTTGTTAGAGATTTCAGAATCCCAAATAAAAGCCCCCTTATTTAAAGAAAATTTGAAAAGTAAAATTTGAATATGGCCCAGGAGTTTATAATGGAACATAATCTGTTGACTCTGTGCACTTTTTTAGATTTGTAATTTAACCAGAGATACACTTTAGTATCACCTGGGGAGCTTTTTAAAAATATACATGTCTGAGCTCTTCCCCAGGGAATTTAATATATGAGGTAGAGAGACCAGGCCGCTGTATTAGGAAAAAGTTTCCCAGGTAATTCTGATGTTTCCCCGGGTTGAGAATCTGTTTTCCAAGATTGGCCGTGTGTTGATGGCTGTTGATAACCTTACCAAGTGTGCTGTTGTACCTGTGGGCTAGAGTCACAGGAATGGGGTTGCTTCATCAATGGTTCAGGTACATTTTCATAGATGTTGCCACATTGCTTTCCAAAAATTCTGCAACAACACATCTCCACCAGCCAGTGCTACTTTTACATTTAAGCAAGAGGGGCTCCTTCCCTGGGCCCTGCACTTTAGAAGGCCCTCATATCACAAATACACAAAACAGTTGGTTTATTACAGATACATGTGGCATCTCTGTCACTCAGCAGTGGCACAGCATCACCCATAACCCTCATCATCTGCCCTTGTGACTAACATCATTCAGCCCCCAGCAAAACGCTTCTCTGCATCTCTTGCTCTGTCTTGGAAGCAAAGGCCACCTAAGTCTAAAGGTTTATGGATTGTGCCCCTGCTGACATCAGAAATGGACACTGCTTTGGAACGTAGGGAAGAATTGAACAGCAGAAGGACTTAGGTAAGAGAAAAAGACAAATTAACCTGTCAAATAAATTCTTGCATAATGAAGTGTCGTTTCCCAGTCGTGCCCAGTGCCCATTTTCTCTACATGTTTCAATTTATGGTTCTGGAGGCATTTGTGGAATAGTACAGTATCTGGAAGACTTGCACGTGAGGGCGGATGCCTGTTACTCTTGAATTTGTGTATGTGTAGGTCTAGACTGGCACTGTCCAATAGAAATGCGAGAGCCACAGAGGCAATCTGCAGTTTTCCAGTCGCCACATTTAAAAAAAAATAAACAGGTGAGATTAATATTAAGTTTAACCCAGTATACCCGAAATATGATCATTTCAACGTGTAATCAGTATAAAAAATTATTTATGAGATATTTTACCTTCTTTGATACTAAATATTCAAAATCTGATGTGTAATTTACACTTCCGGCACATCTCACTGCGGACTGCCCACGTTTCCAGTGCTCAGGAGACCCATGTAGTTAGTGGCTGCTGTATTGGACAGCACAGGTCTAGATAGAACCTGCGTGCAGAACCAACTCTTTATATCAGCAGCTAAATGAACACTGAATATTAGAGTTGTGAATGGTTTTATTCTTACAGGAATATTTAGAAGATTTAGTTAAATTTTCAATAGTGTTAAAAATTTCAGCTTTTAAATAATATTCATTAATTGTAACTTATATTTTGACTTTAATATTAATAATTTTGTATAATTTAGAAAAAACTAACTTTGTGAAATTATATCTGAAAATTGCTTTTTTATCTTTTTGAATTTGCTCTTAATTTTGGTGAAAATATGTTCTAATTTTATACACTTTTAATATAATTCCATTTTACTTTTTAATCCCTAGATTGTTGAAAATGAGCGTAAGTCAAGATTTTGATAGAAAAAGAACACTTAAGAGGAACTCACAAAAGAAAAAAAAAGCTGAAAGGAAAAAAGAAGCAAAAAACTCTTCAAAGAAATGGTCTGCTTTCATTTTTAAAAACAAAACAGTAAAAGTAAGCAGTCTTCTTCCAGGATGATTCACATAAAATTCACAGACAGGACATTACAAATTATTTGCTCAATGAAGATTTAATTACTTATCAAAACAATGAAAATTGTTGAGGCTGTTATTCTCATCAAGTCCATAACTTGAACAGTTCAGATGAAATCGCTGCAGCTTCGTGTTCTTTAGTGAAGGAGACTTCGTTGAGAATGACGAAGAGTCACACACACAGTTAGCACTGGGGGGAAAAGACTGAATAAACAACAAATGATGCTGGAGAAAGCCAAGATAGAAAACATCAACGTAATGTTCTTGAAAGAATAATACAATGTGTCCAATATTTAGCCAAGCCTAACGATGCTTTTCATAGCACCACCAACACAGTGTTTGCAGAAAACAACAGAAAATTTCTAAGTTTTGTAAAAATTATTTCAAAATTTCATAAAACGCCAAACATGTAAATAGGACAAAAAATATTGAAACTAATGATCACTATCTGGGATAGAGAATTCAAACAGATGAATTTAATGGGTAAGAAAGCAAGAGATAAAATAATATGTAATTTAAAAAAAAAATACTCAGTTCAACTAGAATGTACCACGGTCAGAAGACATGTCGAAAAACTAACATTTAAAAGACTGTCAAAGGTGAGCCTGTGATAATGGAGCTAATATGGTTGGTAAATAAAAGGTTAATAAGTACGAAGTTTGGCCGAGAATCCAGAGATGTTCTATGTGACATGTGCAGTTCACAGTTTGCATTTGTTTCTAGGAGACAGGCCCTCCGCTGTGCCGATAATAATGACGTTGTGGGACAGTAGAGCATCCATTAACGCGATTTTCTAGATAGGCCCAAAGATGGAACAGCTTGATGAAACTTTCAGACTCATGGAGGGAATACCAACGAAATGCTGTTAGGGTCGTTAAGTTGAATTTAGATAGAAGAGTCGAGCAGAACCACAAACGACCCTCAAGGAGCAAGTCCTGGACTGTGGCAGAAGGTGAAGGTGATGGTGCATTTGCACTGTCTGCAGTTCTTTAGTGTGAACTGTTCATTTCTATCGATAAGCTTAACAAAAGCTTTAAAAAAATTCGGCTGTTTCACTTTTAAAGGATTAAATTTTTTTTTAAAGTTTAGAAAAACAAAAGCAAAAATGCATGTTAAATACACAAGAAAAATGACATTCCAATAAAATATAAGCAAATTGAAACAAGGAAACAACTATTTGCCTAAGCTGAAGGGAAAGATTCATCTATAAAAAAATCCCCAAAACAGTTTCTGTAGAGGCTCTTTTTCTGTTCATTATAAATCAAAGCATAGTACCATTCAAAGAAAGATTTGAACAGAATGCAACAAGATACTGCTGTTTTCAGTTTTCTTTATAATATACCATCATTGAAATTTGAAAGAAGTTAAGATATTCTGCATGGATCTAAATACTGCTTAAGAGATGATGAAAATGACTATCATAAATGATTGTGATTTATATGATCAAATTAAAATATGTAATATCTTCTGTGATAATTCTTCATCATAATTAAATTGTCATCACTGGTAGTTTGTCAGCTTTCAGTCATATGAAAACCATAGCTTTACAATACTTTTCAAGATACATTTATCACAGTAAGAGGATAGAACATATTTATGACTTCTAAATATGAAACATTTGGTGTTTGGGCCTCCATCTGCATTTGTATTCTTGCCTGGACCCCTTGCAAATGTTAAGGGTGGACCTGCCACCAGCAGTGACTGGGAGTACCTCTTTCCTTATCTGGTGCAAGAAGGATGACAGTGTCGGTTTACTTTGCTCTTCCCTGACTACTAACAAGTTTGAGCATTTTCCATTTGTTTGTGGGTCATTCTTTTCTTTTAGTTTCCCTGTTTTTGTCCTATGATCATTTTTTCTCTTTAGTTGTTTCATTCCCTATCAATCGTAAGGCTATCTTTGCTGTTAAAAACTTTTCCCAAATCTGTTGTTTTTAATCTTGCTTGTGATATTTCCGCCATATAAGAGGGTTTTTTTTTTTTTTTGTAAACAAATATGTAGGCTACCTCTTCTTGTAGAGTCTTCTTGTAACTTAGAAGGTAGCCCCACTCTGAGGCATATATTCACCTAGATTTTCTTGAAGAATTTTGTTCTGTGTTTTGTATTTAGGTCTTTAGCTATCTGGAGCTGATTTTTGTGAATGATGGAAGGTAGGGTTCCTGTTTCTTCTAAACAGATGAGCAGATTTCTCCTTCTCGCCCCTTGAATGCTGCGGCTCACTCTCTCCATGTGGTTGCCTAAAAGGTACCTCTGGCTTCCGTCCCAAACTGGGCTCTATTTCTCCACCTGACCCCCTCCACACATACCAATAACAAAACAAAAACCTGTTCCTAATGGTCTTCTGCACTTCAGTAAATGGTTCTTGCATCCTTTCAGTTCCTGAGGCCAAAAGCCATAGACTTGTTGGTGATTTCTCTCTCTCACATGCAGTCCACCTGCAAATTCTATCGACTCTGCCTTCGAAATGTCCCCAGTCCAGCCTGCTTCTCACCCTGTCCACTGGAACCACCCTAAGAAGCCACTGTCTCTTCAAGCCTCCTGACGTCTCTATTTCCATGCTTGTCTCCTTCAGTCAACACAAGAGTGAGAATAATGATTTTAAGATAAACTTTTTGTAGGAGTATAGCATAGATGCAGAAGTACATTAATCGTGGGTGCACTCCTTGATGAATTTTCACTGTGGCCACACCCATGTAATCACCACCCAGATCAAGAAATAGAACATTGCCGGAAGCTGCCCCTTGTGCCCCCTTCCATTCGCGAGCCTCCCCCAAGGTAACCACTCATCTGACTGCTAACACCGTGGCTTCGTGTTGCCTGTATGTGAACTTTATTTAAATGGAATCCTATAGTGTGTGGGGTTTGGGGTGCCCTCTTTGATGATGATATTTCTGAGGTTTATCCATTTGTTGCACATAGCAGTTTATTCTCGTTGCACTATAGTATCCCATTTCATGAATTTGTCACAATTTATCTACTCTACCTTTGGTGGACATTTGTGTTGTTTTCAGTTTGTTGTTTACAAATAGTACTACTGTGAACATTTTTGTATGCTTTTTTGGTGAACACATCTCCACATTTCTGTTGGAAGAAATGATCTTAAGAAAAAACAGAAACTGGAACTTAATTTTGAGAATGAAAGGGGCACTGTCAATTGAGCCAGAACAACAAGTGTAAATCAGGACTGTCCTGGGTAACCAGGAGGGATGGTCACCCCACCTGTCGAAGCCTTCATGATGTGGCTGCTGGCCGTCCCTCTGACCCTCCCACACTCTCCCCGCCTTATTGTCTCCAACCACAGTGGCCTTGAAATTCTGTAAACTTGGCAGCATGTTCCTGCTTCAGGAACGTTCTTCCCTGGCAATCAGCATGGCTTGACCCCTCCTTCCTTCAGAGAGGCCCTATATAAAACAGCACCTCCCCACCGCCACTCTCCCCTTATTCTGTTGTAGTCATCTTAGTTTTTATTGCTATTTGATTAAACCTGAAATTTTGATTGCTCTGTTATCCTCTGTCCCAAATGCAAGCTCCACGGGAGAAGGGACTCTGTCCGTCGAGGTCACTGCTGTGTCGCTGCGCTCACAACGGTGCCTCAAATACAGTTCATCATAGAGCGCAGGTGGGGGGTATATGACTCTCGTACAATTTCTTCTTTTTTACTTGAAAATTTATAATAAAATGTGAGGGAAACAGCTAACATTTTATCTTTACAACAAGCCCCATGAAACAGTCAAAGTGGGTCTATGGACGGGCAGCATCAGCATCACCTGGGAGGTTGTCAGAAATGCAGGGTCCTGGGTCCCACCCTGCACCCACTGCTCAGGATCTCCGGGGGAGCCAGGGGATTCTTATGCACACTCAAGGGTGAGAGGCACTCAATAATTTTTTCCCATTTTATAGATGGGAAAGTGAGACACAGAGAAGAAAACTTAAGTCACACAGCTAGAAAATGATGGTGCTGGGAGTGGATGTGCTCTTAAAGTTGAGGCCTGACAGAATGTCTCTCAATCTGACTGACGAGGAATAAAAAGCAGACTCGCTTTGCCCTCCCCTAGACCCAGGAATGTTGGCATCAAAATGCGTCCCGTTTGCCATTAACATACAATGGGGAACTTGAGTGGTATTAAGCTACACTGTTACTTGTGGGAGTGTTTCTCATCTTCAGCCTGTCACTTTTTGCTGTTTATTTTTGGCAGAAACTTGGGCACTGTGGGTGCTGTTGCCTTGGACTGCAGAGGAAACGTGGCTTATGCAACCTCTACGGGGGGCATCGTTAATAAAATGGTCGGCCGAGTAGGGGACACACCGTGTATAGGTGGGCTTGCTGGATGGCTACTGCTCCCACTTCCCCTATCCACAAGTTCTCATCCTCGATTCTCTGCCCCTCTCTCCTTGTCTTTCTTTCTTCATGTCCCTCCTCTTCTTGGTGGCAGCTTCAGGATTTCTGGGAGTGGCAGTTGGACTGGAAGGAGTTGTTTAGGGCACGCACTGATTTCAGAGGGCGTTTCAGAGGGCACTCAGCTCTCTGTTTCTCCTAGATTGTACGTCTTTGGGGTGACCTGGGAGGGAGATGGGGGATGCCCCCAAGCTGCCCCATAGTGCCCCTGTCTCCTCTCCAGCCACAATGGCAGCATCTGCAGACTTATTCCCAAAGGACCAAGTACACAAAACCTATTCCCAGGCATGAGGTCAAGTTAGTGAAAAGAAAACAGAATTTAAGTTTGTAGTTTTTATATTTGAGTGGCATGAAAGAGACACACTGCTTCTACAGAGATATTACAGATCGAAATGTTCTTTGCATTAACACTGAAGCACATTATCTAATTCCCAGGAGTGGGTCAGTGGGGGCTGTATGTGTTTCACTCTGTGCAGACTGGGTAGATATGCTTTGGGGCAAAGGAGGGGCTGTCCTGGTGTAGCTGCTCCTTGAAAGGTCAGGCCTCTTGTCCATGAGGCTCCTTCGTCCTCCTGATTTCAGGGTCGTCACATGGTGCTCACTAGTCCACCTGTGCATCCCAAGGTCGTGGCTACTAATCTGATCTTCGTCTACGCGTTGCACTCTTTGGGATTTAATATTCATGTAGCATTAGACTTGTAATATGTGTTTGGGTTTCTTGACTACTGCTACTCAGCACCGTCGCCGCCTTTGAGCAGGATCTGGAGGTTATGCTGACAATGACATTGGAGCCGTTTCAACGACGGGGCACGGGGAAAGCATCATGAAGGTGAATCTGGCCAGACTCGCTCTCTTCCACATGGAACAGGGTACGTAGAACAAGTTCATCCTCTCCAAAGACGAGTGAAGAGAAGCTGTTTATAAATAGATGCAGAAGTATGTGAAATCGTCCCTTTCTTGTTTGCTATAGATGTTGCTTTCAGGTTAACACTATTTTGGCTCCTTCCCACCTTCTGTTAGGATCTGGAGAAAAGCATTTAGAATATCGTTTGTCATCCCACCAACTGGGAGAAGATATTTGCAAATCACATATCTGATAAGGGGTTAATATCCAAAATATATAAAGAGCTTGTACAGCTCAACAGGAAAACCAACAGCCTGATCAAAAACTGGGCAGAGGAATGAACAGAATACCATTTGTCTTGTGCATCTTGGGAGAAGGGAGCAGTAGAGAGGCTGTGAGCCTGGGTGTGGGAGACCGGGCGCTCTGCCCAGGCTGGTGCGAGGGCTCCGTCTCAGTGCAAGGAGGGTCTTTTATGTGAGGATCCTTCTCTGAAGCGTTCAAATAGAATTATTTACTAAAAGTCTTTGTTAATTCGCTGTGGGTTTCCATTCTGCAAATGATTTTCCCATCAGATTCCTTTCAGTAATGTATGTTTCTCAACCGTGTTTTCAGGAAAGACGTTGGAAGAGGCTGCTGATATCTCGTTGGGTTATATGAAGTCGAAGCTCAAAGGTTTAGGTGGCGTCATCTTGGTCAGCAAAGCAGGAGACTGGGCAGTAAAGTGGACCTCTGCGTCCATGCCCTGGGCAGCTGTCAAGGATGGCAAGCTGCACTCTGGAATTTATCTTGATGACACCAGTATCACTGACCTGCCCTAAGCCCTGGAAGATTGTATTCTAGATGCTAGCTTGGAGGTCAAGTATAGCTTCCTGTGTGGAGACTCAGCTTAATCAATTAGATGTAGAAATGGAAAAAGCCTGCAGTTTATCACTCCTTTGGTTGCCTTAATCAGTAAGTATCTGAGTGCTTTTGCATGTGTAGAAGATAAACAAATACATAGATAAGAAGAATAGATTAGTGGTTACTAGATGAGAAGGGGGTGGGGGGAGGGCTAAAGGTGTACAGGGGCACATATGTATGGTGACAGGTAAAAACTGGACTATTGGTGGTGAACATGATGCAGTCTATACAGAAACTGAAACATAGTCATGTACACCTGAAATTTACACAAAGTTGTAAGCCAGTATGATCCCAATAAAATAAAATTTAAAATAATAAGTATATATGTGTTTGGCTGAGGGGTGGATTCTGAAGTGATGAGGGAAATGTCTGTATTAAGGTCAAAGTAAGACTAGTGAGCATGACAGACTCTGCTGAGCCTTTCTCGCGAGCTGAGCCCTTATCTTAGGTTAGAAAGAAGAAGTGACGTGATCGTAACACGGCAGGAGCTGCCTAGTGCGGGCAGTGCCCTTTGGAGGTGGGAGACCCGCGGCAGAGACGGGAGCTGCAGCCTGAAAGGCTTGTGGGATCCAGAGGAGAGCGACTCCCCAGGCTCTCTTGGTTGCAGACTTTCCCACAGGACCAGGGAGGGGCAGGAGGGGAGGGGAGGGCCCAGTGGAGGGATGTGAAAGTAAGACAGGAGCAGCAGCAGAGCAAGTGGGAGAAGTCCAGGTGAACCGCCACGTCAGCCTGTCGCAGAGTCCGTTTAGACAGCGGGGAAAAGAATCTGTGAGACGGTAAACTGACTTCCAAGAAAGTTGAGATCTTCTCTAACTTGCTAATATGGACATGTTTCCAGACACTTTAAGGGGACCCTCTGGTAACCCGTAGCTCTCTAGTCTGGAGATGAAGGGTCCCAATGGATACTGTGGCTCTCCTTCCAGTCTGAGGGCTTTCCTGGGCTCACACACAAGTCTGCTCACCTACTGTTTTCCCAGCAGCCAGCACGGCTGACCAGAGCCTCCACCTGCCGCAGACCCTCTGGGTCCTCATAGTGAGGAACGCGGCTCGCAACCGCTCTCCTCTCCTGCCACAAGGCAGGGCCGATCCATGTGGAGATGACGCCGTGACCTAAGGCATTCTCATACTGTCCAGTGCTGTGGGGTCCTCCCCAGCTGAATCAGGTGTGTGTACAATGTGGTCAGCATGGTGAAGAAAGTAATTTCCTTGGTGGAGCGTATTCCTATTAATCTCTCTTTACACAGGAAATGGTATTTCTGCTGTGACATATCTGCTCAGTTTTTTAGTCTGTCAGGGCTTATCTTCTCTCTGGAAAGAAATTGCTTAACTTTAAATTCCATGTGCCACTAATAAAATGTATTTTGAAAGAATAACAGTGTGGTTAGGAGTCACTGTTGACGAAGACCAGAATGTACAAGAGTTTCCTTTGGTCTGTCAATTCAGACAGGTGTGCTAGTTAGAGAGACCTTCCAAGGTACAGGTGGGATATGGATATGATTGCTTCCTGCCTTGTGGAGTGTATTTGAGAGTTTTTTAAAAGAATTGAGCTTTTTCAGGGCCGGCCTGGTGGCATAGTGGTTGGGTTTGCACACTCCACTTCAGCAGCCCAGGGTTCATGAGTTCCGATCCTGGGTGTGGACCTACACGCCACTCCTCGGGCCATGCTGTGGTGGCATCCCACATACAAAATAGAGGAAGATCAGCAACAGATGTTAGCTCAGGGCCAATCTTCCTCACCAAAAACAAAGAATTGAGCTTTTTCTGGATGGGTTAAGGAGGAAACCCAACCACCATTTGCAGATATCAGCAGGGTCTACGGACCAGTCTTCTTGGAGTTTGCCAGACAGTGGCACAGTTCTAGCTTCTGTCCTGTGACCCTCCCTGGGCCATGTCAGCTGCTCTAAACTAGAGAGAAAGAGGTGGCCCCTGAGGGCAGGATTGAGTTTGAATCCTGCTTCTCCCTACTACCTGGGTGACCCTGGGCAAGTTAACGTCTAAGAATTTTTTCATCTATAAAATAGATTACTATGGAGGCCGGCCCCGTGGCCGAGTGGTTAAGTTCGCACACTCCGCTTTGGCAGCCCAGAGTTTCGCCAGTTCGGATCCGGGGCATGGACATGGCACCACTCATCAGGCCACGCTGAGGTGGCGTCCCACATGCCACAACTAGAAGGACCCACAACTAAAAATATATAACTGTGTACTGGGGGGATTTGGGTAGGAAAAGCAGGGGAAAAAAAGATTGACAACGGTTGTTAGCTCAGGTACCAAGCTTTAAAAAAAACAATTTAAAAAACAGATTACTATGAAGACTAAGTAAAATCAAAGGACAACTGCTGGGGCTGGCCTAGTGGCTCAACTGTTAAGTGTGCACATTCCGCTTCGGCGGCCTGGGGTTCGCTGGTTCAGATCCTGGGTGCGGACATGGCACCACTTGGCACGCCATGCTGTGGTAGGCGTCCCACATATAGAGTAGAGGAAGATGGGCATGGATGTTAGCTCAGGGCCAGTCTTTCTCAGCAAAAGAAGAGGATTGGCAGCAGATGTTAGCTCAGGGCTAATCTTCCTCAAAAAAAAAAAAGGACAACTGCTCAGTGTTTGCCTTAGGGATCCTGTGGGCAAATACAGAAACTGTGGCCAGGCCCAGCAGGGAGTCTGCGTGTTAATATCCTTGAAAACTTCAGTATGCACCGACTGTCCTTTAGAAGTAAGTATTTTGTTAGGAGATACATTAGTTTGTTAGGGCTGCCAACAACAAAATACCACAGACAGTGGCTTAAACAACAAAGTTATTTTCTCTCAGTTCTGGAGGATGGAAGTCTCGAGACCAGGGTGTCAGCGGGTCTGCTTTCTCCGGAGGCCTCTCTCCTTGGCTCACAGAGGCTGCCTTCTCGCCGTGTCCTCACACGGTCTTTTCTTTATACACATCTGTGGCCAAATTTCCTCCTGAAGATGTCAGTGAGATGGGACTGGACCCACCCTAACAGCCTAGTTTGAAATTAATCACCTCTTCAGAGGCCCTGTCTCCCAGTACAGGCACATTCTGAGGGACTGGGGGTTAGGGCTTCAATATGTGAATTTTGAGGGGACACAATTTAGCCCATGACAGGAGGCAAAGCAGAATCACATTAGGGGTTGGAAATGGCGAGACTCTGGAGAAGTAAGGATCACTAAGTAGATAAGGAAGAAGAAGGGAGGAGGGGGCTTCGGGAGGCCAGGTGCAGGATGTGATTTTGCGCTTCTCAGGTCCGCCATTCCCGAGGGAAGTGACTAGTTATCAAAGACTGCTGGAGTCTCAGCTTGGGGCCAGCTGACCTCCTGGGCCTGGCAGCCCCAGCCCCGTTAGGTAAGGGAACATCAGCCCCTGTGTGCAAGCCACGGTGTGTACTGTTGCCCTTGGACCTTGGTTCTGTGAAAGTCGTCTCCACTGGCCTGGGAATTCCGTAAGCGGAGACCATGTGTGGTTCTGTCTTTTGCCCCACACATTGCCCGGTGACCTGCTCTGTAACTATCTGTGGAACAAATAAATGAGCAAGATATTATCTGAAAGACAATGGCAGTCTTTTTGTCACTTCTATGCCACAAGAGGGCAGCAAACTATAAAATGTCCAACGGTTTCCACAGCCCATAGGGGAGATCGTTTATCTTGAGTCTGGATCAGAACAATCTACTCAGAAAATTTGGAACCAAAAGAGTATTCCCGTTCCTGACTTTCCTTTTCACGTAAATACTACAGTTTATTTTATAGCAGAATTGTCCAAAACACTAGCAAATGCCCCACAGAACCCATCAAAATCAACCATGTCTTGACGGTTAAAACAATTGAAGCCTACGCTGCTCCTGCCGCCAGGTGCTGGGGATCCCGAGGAGAGCTCACTCAGGCAGCCCCAGCCTCTGCCCTCGGTTGCTCCTTCCAGCCAGGATACAGATAAATCGTAGTTTGGCCTAAACTTGCCAAAATGGTGGGATAAGAAGGAGCACAAGAGAGGCCAGAGCTGAGAGCGAATGTCTGCCCGAGCAGGAGATGCTGCAGTCAGCCCACCGTGTTGAGCTGGAGAGAAAAGTCCTGGAGGAAAGAGCCTTAAACATGTAGCTGTTGCACAATAAATGTTTTTCTCGAATAATGTCCTTTCTAGACATGTTCCTTTCTAGCATGAGAGATTATAAACTCTGGGGAAAGGAAGGTGGAATGGGACGCACTTCAGTCCTCGTCAGTGGCCCTCTCGTCGGAAATGGATGGGGTGTGGGGAAGCTGGTGGGGGACACCGTCCTTCCAGCCCCACACCTGCTCCTCTGTAGTCCTCATGTCAGCCTTCCCCTCTGCACAAAACCATCACTGTATTCAGACTTTGTAGCAACTTTGCCAAAGCAAGGAAGTGCCCCCACAGAGCTTATCCAGCTCAGAAAAACACAGGTATCTCCTCTCTCCATAGGCGTAGGCACGACCCAGAAAGGAATGGGTGCTGGGCTGAAGGACAGCAGTGAAACCAGGCCTAGGAATGGGGTTGGGAGGAGGTTTGCGCCTGGAACACAGGGAGGGTTGAGGCCAGGATTGGGTGTGGGTGCCCATTAGTGGTTCCATCCAGAGTCTAAATACCACTGAGTGAGCAAGCAGCCTTTCTCCCTTACCCCGCCCCACGTCCATACACACACACACACAGTCAAGCCCATAGTCGCATATAGCTCGTCTGTTGTGAGAAGTTAAAAATGTGCAAGGGGAGGCACAGGGAAGATTCTTCCCTTTGAAAGATGAAAAAAGGCCTAGAGAAACTGGAGTTTATTCCACGCAGGTTAAACAGGTTTATCTCAGCCTCTCTGTTCTCCAATCCTGTGTCCTTGATATGACAGTCCTTGTCCTATCACTCATGGCACCCAATGCCCACCAGAACCAAGGTGCGTGCCCCAGGTGAGAAGCAGGAGGGAACAGCACGCTTTGACCACTTTATCCTTCAAATTCTGCTTTTTTTCCCCAACCTTCTATTAAAGTTGGATTTTCAGACAATGAGAGAGGTGGGGCCAGGCGTGGCCTGGGTTGACAGAGGAAACTAGCCTCGAATCTTCTTTTTTTCACTGATCTCAGAATTAACTATATTTTTTGCTGTGTAATTATGAGCACTTTCTGGATCCCGTGCAGAGCTTGGATGGGGTTTGGGTTCTAAGCTCTGGCTGGGAGCAAGGGAGCAAAGAGATTGTTTCCTTCCCATCCTGTAGGTCTGAGGCTCTGCTACGAGAGCCGTGGCGCAGGCAGCCCCTGGATTGTTACCTTGCAGGGTAGCAATTTTTTACTAAACATTTTTAAGTTAAAAATAGCCTTCTGATAAAATAAAAGGGGCATATGTGTATTGTAGAAGTTGGAAAAAATAAAAATAGCGAAAAGTTTTAAATGCATGAGAAAACATAGATCACCAAAAGTAAGAAAAAAATAGGGGTAAAGATTTCCTATCCCTCAAGTGAATATCAATATTACCACCTTGTTGTATATTCTTTCAGATCTTTTTCAAAGTATATATTATGTATATGTTTTCCAAAATGAGATCATGCCGTACATGTTTTTTCAAACTTTGTTTCAGTTAAAAATCCACCTTTCCATGTCAGTAAACTCAGCTATGTAATAGTCAGTATTGAGATTTCTCCCATTTCCTCAGCATGGGCCCTGACGGCAGGTTTGTCAAACCCTGTCCCTGCCTGGAGTGTGATTATGCCCCTTGGTCTCTTCTAACAAGTCCTGCCCCTTTTTTAACCACTCTGACTTGTCGAATGTTAGCGCTGGGTGCCCGGCTATGTTACACCTTCCCAGTTGGTCAGGCTGCCTCCTGTGGGATCAGGTGAGCGTTGGGCCGGAACACATCGCAGGGCGGGGTGCCAGGCCACCATTCCAAACAGAAATGTTGATGTCCCTTTTGCAGCAGCAGCCTATGCTGCTGGGCTGTGGGAACACAGCTGGGCGTAAGGTGTGGAAAGGGGAACGTGGGTTGTACCAGAAGCCCAAGGCCCCACCCAGAAGTTTGGCAAAGAGTGACTTGGAGTCAGAGAGCAGGTGGGGAGCGGGTTCACCCTGTGCAGCCTCCAGGAAAGGACTGGCCCACCACCCTTCCTGCTCGGGCCTCCTCGGGCCACCTCTTCCCAGGTCACGTCCTTCCCAGCTGCGCTCACCTTCAGCCTTTCCCAAGGCCTGTCCGACCACACAGTAAGCAAGAGCTACCCCAAGTGCTTCTTGGGCAAAGGGCAGTTTTCAGAAGTATTTACTAATTAGAGCAGGTGGATACCAGTCACGTCAAACCCAGGACTATTTACCGTGGGAAGAGAACAAAGGCTAGGGTTCTCTTGCCTTCCAGAACAACATTCCACCGTCTACCTACTGCCAGATCCCTGGGGGTCTGAACTCCTGAAATCTCTCTCCCAACATTGTATTCAGGTACCAAGTATTTAATCATTTAAAAAATAAGAAAGACCAGGGCACGCTCTTCCCTTCCTCCCTGTGTCTGCTCCCGTCCCTTCGCCTGGGCCCACTCAGCACCCCGTCCCCCCCAGACCCGAAGCTCACTGTGAGCCCCCATGCTTCCCTGGTGACCTCACCCCAGATCTTGCCTTTCGGGCCCGTGCCTCCTCAGTCTTCCCAGCCATCTCTGTTCGTCTTATCTCTGGCTCTTGCACAGATATCACACCCTGCATGCCTCATGACTAAAGATTCTGCGGCTTCCCCCCAGCCATTTCCCACCCTGTCCTCGTCTTCCTTAGAAATTCAGCATGTTTGTCAACTGCTCTCAAGCAGAAATGGTCAGGACACAGGGCGGGGCACCCTGCAGAGCTGAATCTCCCACACACACTCAGCGTTCCCAGCCCCAAGTCCTTACTTGGATGTGCTTCAGAGAACAGGCAGCCAGTTCCTGGGAGAGCAGCATGTCTGCCTTTGTTGTATTTGAGTGCCCCACCAGTGTGTTTGCACCCGAATTTTCAGGCTGAAGGCCTCTGCGGTGGCCTCCCTGGGAAGCGGCTTCATTTTATTTGAGAGAAAAGGTTCCAGCCCTGCTTCCTGTCTCTGAGCACTGGGGCCACAGCGTTGTTATCCCTCCCCCAGGAAGGCCAAACCCCTGAGCAGGGCTCAGACTGGGAAGGCATCGTTGTCCTGCAGTGTTGGCAGGATGCTCCAGACTCCTCTCAAACCCTGCAGGCAGGACTGCCCTGCCCTTCCTGAGGTCAGTTCCCAGGATGGGGTGCAGGCTGGCACATACAGGACCTGCTCTGGGCCACTTGGCTGCCCCCCAGCCTACGCAGGCTCTGAGACCTCCAGCCCCTGCACCACCACAGCCCAGCTCCTGAGCCCCTCTTGGTGTCAAGGCTTCCCCTGGGGGCTGCTTGGGTGGCAGCTGGGCCCGTGCTCAAGTATGAAGACAGAAGAATGAGGAACGCCCACCTCGTTCCTTGGATTCTGCACCCCTGCAGCCAGTCCCTCGTGGCCCTCCTCCCAGGAGCCCCATCTTACCCACCCGAGAGCCTCCAAGGGTTCCCGCCGAATGTATCAAACCTAAACCTCTTGGCTGGCTCCAAGGACCCCCAGGCCAGCTCCTCCAGGCTGCAGGCAGGGTCTCCCACTGCCGCCAGCAGGCAAGAGACTCCGCAGGCCTCTGCACACCCGGTGTCCTCTCCTGAAATGCCTTTCTGCCGTTAAAGGTATTTAAGGGGAATACTTGTAACCTCTCTCAGGTTGTTGTGAGAATCAGTTAGTTAATACACAGAAAATTCTTGGAAGTGTGCCTGGCACATAGGAAACGCTGAGTAAGCATCAGTTATTATTACTATGTTATTTTGTTCCCAAGCCACACCCACCAGAGTGAACCCTTCCTCCAGGGTCCCCAGCTGGCAGCTCCTAAAATGGGCCTCTATTCCATGGACCCAAAAGTCGCTCCGACCATTTTGGACGTGTGGCCAGGTGCTTAGCCCCCAGGGGCCTGGCTGTTCCTGCGTGAGGCAAGGTCCCCCGGCAGAGGCCCACCCATAACAAGGCCAACACAAAGGAGAACCCCAGCTTCATATTTTATGATTTACGAAGCACTGTCACGTCTATTTCTACTTTGTGGAATAGGCAGGGCAGAAATAACTATTCCCATTTTCCAAATGGGGCCACTGCTGCCCAGAGGTGATGGGTACCTTGCCCAGGCCACCAACTAGCAAGTGGCCCAGCTGGCCTTCGAATCCAGCGCTGCCAGGTTGCACCCTCAGTGCTGAGCTGAGTCACATCTTCCTCCTTCTGAAAAGCAGCTCAGATGCCAAAGGAATTAGAGACAGCCACACGACGAAAACCAGACACCCTGCCCCTTGTCTCTGGACCAGCTCCCAGGAAAGGGAGAATAACGGATGTGTGGCCCCTGGGGCCGCCCCGCCCCGTGAGCTCAGCTCCTGGCAGAAGGGGCCTCGCTAAGGAAGGCCTGTGAGCCCCCTGGGCCAGGAAAGCCTCTCCCCAGAACTGGGGCCAGACCGCAAGGCTGCTTAACTCCAGGGTCAGAACGAAGAGGGTCCAAGGCCAGCCATGTCACCACTAACCCTCTCTAACCCTAACAACCCTGCCAACCGGGTGCTACACCCATTTTTCAGATGGGAAAACCAAGGCTTGGGAAGAGATGACTGTGGGGCTCCAACTGGGGGAGCTTGTCCACTGGAATACTCGTCAAAGCAAGACATAGCTTCCTTGAGGGCAGGGACCACACCTAATTTGCTTATAGCTGGTCCCCCAGGCCTATAGCTGTGCCCAGTAAATATTTGTGAAATGAAAGCATGAATCCTCAGGTGCATCCTTCACTTAAGGATGAAGTGGGTATAGCCCATGCCTCAGCTCTGGTCACAAAGGGGCCTGGCTGGGGCAAACCCACCCTGAGACCTGGGAAGCACCGCCAGCCCTGCCCACAGCCCCGTCCTAACACCCAGCCCACAGCCAGGCCCACCAGGATGCCCCAGGGCCCCACCATCCAGCTCACTGGGTCAGGGGTCACCCTTGCTGCTGGGGGAGAGGGGTCAGCTCCCGGTCGTGGTGAAGGCTCTGTGGGCTGAGGCTCCAGCATTTCCTATCCCTCAAGTGAATATCAATATTACCACCTTGTTGTATATTCTTTCAGATCTTTTTCAAAGTATATATTATGTATATGTTTTCCAAAATGAGATCATGCCGTACATGTTTTTTCAAACTTTGTTTCAGTTAAAAATCCACCTTTCCATGTCAGTAAACTCAGCTATGTAATAGTCAGTATTGAGATTTCTCCCATTTCCTCAGCATGGGCCCTGACGGCAGGTTTGTCAAACCCTGTCCCTGCCTGGAGTGTGATTATGCCCCTTGGTCTCTTCTAACAAGTCCTGCCCCTTTTTTAACCACTCTGACTTGTCGAATGTTAGCGCTGGGTGCCCGCTATGTTACACCTTCCCAGTTGGTCAGGCTGCCTCCTGTGGGACAGGTGAGCGTTGGGCCGGAACACATCGCAGGGCGGGGTGCCAGGCCACCATTCCAAACAGAAATGTTGATGTCCCTTTTGCAGCAGCAGCCTATGCTGCTGGGCTGTGGGAACACAGCTGGGCGTAAGGTGTGGAAAGGGGAACGTGGGTTGTACCAGAAGCCCAAGGCCCCACCCAGAAGTTTGGCAAAGAGTGACTTGGAGTCAGAGAGCAGGTGGGGAGCGGGTTCACCCTGTGCAGCCTCCAGGAAAGGACTGGCCCACCACCCTTCCTGCTCGGGCCTCCTCGGGCCACCTCTTCCCAGGTCACGTCCTTCCCAGCTGCGCTCACCTTCAGCCTTTCCCAAGGCCTGTCCGACCACACAGTAAGCAAGAGCTACCCCAAGTGCTTCTTGGGCAAAGGGCAGTTTTCAGAAGTATTTACTAATTAGAGCAGGTGGATACCAGTCACGTCAAACCCAGGACTATTTACCGTGGGAAGAGAACAAAGGCTAGGGTTCTCTTGCCTTCCAGAACAACATTCCACCGTCTACCTACTGCCAGATCCCTGGGGGTCTGAACTCCTGAAATCTCTCTCCCAACATTGTATTCAGGTACCAAGTATTTAATCATTTAAAAAATAAGAAAGACCAGGGCACGCTCTTCCCTTCCTCCCTGTGTCTGCTCCCGTCCCTTCGCCTGGGCCCACTCAGCACCCCGTCCCCCCCAGACCCGAAGCTCACTGTGAGCCCCCCAAATTTCCTCCTGAAGATGTCAGTGAGATGGGACTGGACCCACCCTAACAGCCTAGTTTGAAATTAATCACCTCTTCAGAGGCCCTGTCTCCCAGTACAGGCACATTCTGAGGGACTGGGGGTTAGGGCTTCAATATGTGAATTTTGAGGGGACACAATTTAGCCCATGACAGGAGGCAAAGCAGAATCACATTAGGGGTTGGAAATGGCGAGACTCTGGAGAAGTAAGGATCACTAAGTAGATAAGGAAGAAGAAGGGAGGAGGGGGCTTCGGGAGGCCAGGTGCAGGATGTGATTTTGCGCTTCTCAGGTCCGCCATTCCCGAGGGAAGTGACTAGTTATCAAAGACTGCTGGAGTCTCAGCTTGGGGCCAGCTGACCTCCTGGGCCTGGCAGCCCCAGCCCCGTTAGGTAAGGGAACATCAGCCCCTGTGTGCAAGCCACGGTGTGTACTGTTGCCCTTGGACCTTGGTTCTGTGAAAGTCGTCTCCACTGGCCTGGGAATTCCGTAAGCGGAGACCATGTGTGGTTCTGTCTTTTGCCCCACACATGGTCCAGTGGCCTGCTCTGTAACTATCTGTGGAACAAATAAATGAGCAAGATATTATCTGAAAGACAATGGCAGTCTTTTTGTCACTTCTATGCCACAAGAGGGCAGCAAACTATAAAATGTCCAACGGTTTCCACAGCCCATAGGGGAGATCGTTTATCTTGAGTCTGGATCAGAACAATCTACTCAGAAAATTTGGAACCAAAAGAGTATTCCCGTTCCTGACTTTCCTTTTCACGTAAATACTACAGTTTATTTTATAGCAGAATTGTCCAAAACACTAGCAAACGCCCCACAGAACCCATCAAAATCAACCATGTCTTGACGGTTAAAACAATTGAAGCCTACACTGCTCCTGCCGCCAGGTGCTGGGGATCCCGAGGAGAGCTCACTCAGGCAGCCCCAGCCTCTGCCCTCGGTTGCTCCTTCCAGCCAGGATACAGATAAATCGTAGTTTGGCCTAAACTTGCCAAAATGGTGGGATAAGAAGGAGCACAAGAGGGGCCAGAGCTGAGAGCGAGTGTCTGCCGGAGCAGGAGATGCTGCAGTCAGCCCACCGTGTTGAGCTGGAGAGAAAAGTCCTGGAGGAAAGAGCCTTAAACATGTAGCTGTTGCACAATAAATGTTTTTCTCGAATAATGTCCTTTCTAGACATGTTCCTTTCTAGCATGAGAGATTATAAACTCTGGGGAAAGGAAGGTGGAATGGGACGCACTTCAGTCCTCGTCAGTGGCCCTCTCGTCGGAATGGATGGGGTGTGTGGGAAGCTGGTGGGGGACACCGTCCTTCCAGCCCCACACCTGCTCCTCTGTAGTCCTCATGTCAGCCTTCCCCTCTGCACAAAACCATCACTGTATTCAGACTTTGTAGCAACTTTGCCAAAGCAAGGAAGTGCCCCCACAGAGCTTATCCAGCTCAGAAAAACACAGGTATCCTCCTCTCTCCATAGGCGTAGGCACGACCCAGAAAGGAATGGGTGCTGGGCTGAAGGACAGCAGTGAAACCAGGCCTAGGAATGGGGTTGGGAGGAGGTTTGCGCCTGGAACACAGGGAGGGTTGAGGCCAGGATTGGGTGTGGGTGCCCATTAGTGGTTCCATCCAGAGTCTAAATACCACTGAGTGAGCAAGCAGCCTTTCTCCCTTACCCCGCCCCACGTCCATACACACACACACACAGTCAAGCCATAGTCGCATATAGCTCGTCTGTTGTGAGAAGTTAAAAATGTGCAAGGGGAGGCACAGGGAAGATTCTTCCCTTTGAAAGATGAAAAAAGGCCTAGAGAAACTGGAGTTTATTCCACGCAGGTTAAACAGGTTTATCTCAGCCTCTCTGTTCTCCAATCCTGTGTCCTTGATATGACAGTCCTTGTCCTATCACTCATGGCACCCAATGCCCACCAGAACCAAGGTGCGTGCCCCAGGTGAGAAGCAGGAGGGAACAGCACGCTTTGACCACTTTATCCTTCAAATTCTGCTTTTTTTCCCCAACCTTCTATTAAAGTTGGATTTTCAGACAATGAGAGAGGTGGGGGCCAGGCGTGGCCTGGGTTGACAGAGGAAACTAGCCTCGAATCTTCTTTTTTTCACTGATCTCAGAATTAACTATATTTTTTGCTGTGTAATTATGAGCACTTTCTGGATCCCGTGCAGAGCTTGGATGGGGTTTGGGTTCTAAGCTCTGGCTGGGAGCAAGGGAGCAAAGAGATTGTTTCTTCCCATCCTGTAGGTCTGAGGCTCTGCTACGAGAGCCGTGGCGCAGGCAGCCCCTGGATTGTTACCTTGCAGGGTAGCAATTTTTTACTAAACATTTTTAAGTTAAAAATAGCCTTCTGATAAAATAAAAGGGGCATATGTGTATTGTAGAAGTTGGAAAAAATAAAAATAGCGAAAAGTTTTAAATGCATGAGAAAACATAGATCACCAAAAGTAAGAAAAAAATAGGGGTAAAGATTTCCTATCCCTCAAGTGAATATCAATATTACCACCTTGTTGTATATTCTTTCAGATCTTTTTCAAAGTATATATTATGTATATGTTTTCCAAAATGAGATCATGCCGTACATGTTTTTTCAAACTTTGTTTCAGTTAAAAATCCACCTTTCCATGTCAGTAAACTCAGCTATGTAATAGTCAGTATTGAGATTTCTCCCATTTCCTCAGCATGGGCCCTGACGGCAGGTTTGTCAAACCCTGTCCCTGCCTGGAGTGTGATTATGCCCCTTGGTCTCTTCTAACAAGTCCTGCCCCTTTTTTAACCACTCTGACTTGTCGAATGTTAGCGCTGGGTGCCCGGCTATGTTACACCTTCCCAGTTGGTCAGGCTGCCTCCTGTGGGATCAGGTGAGCGTTGGGCCGGAACACATCGCAGGGCGGGGTGCCAGGCCACCATTCCAAACAGAAATGTTGATGTCCCTTTTGCAGCAGCAGCCTATGCTGCTGGGCTGTGGGAACACAGCTGGGCGTAAGGTGTGGAAAGGGGAACGTGGGTTGTACCAGAAGCCCAAGGCCCCACCCAGAAGTTTGGCAAAGAGTGACTTGGAGTCAGAGAGCAGGTGGGGAGCGGGTTCACCCTGTGCAGCCTCCAGGAAAGGACTGGCCCACCACCCTTCCTGCTCGGGCCTCCTCGGGCCACCTCTTCCCAGGTCACGTCCTTCCCAGCTGCGCTCACCTTCAGCCTTTCCCAAGGCCTGTCCGACCACACAGTAAGCAAGAGCTACCCCAAGTGCTTCTTGGGCAAAGGGCAGTTTTCAGAAGTATTTACTAATTAGAGCAGGTGGATACCAGTCACGTCAAACCCAGGACTATTTACCGTGGGAAGAGAACAAAGGCTAGGGTTCTCTTGCCTTCCAGAACAACATTCCACCGTCTACCTACTGCCAGATCCCTGGGGGTCTGAACTCCTGAAATCTCTCTCCCAACATTGTATTCAGGTACCAAGTATTTAATCATTTAAAAAATAAGAAAGACCAGGGCACGCTCTTCCCTTCCTCCCTGTGTCTGCTCCCGTCCCTTCGCCTGGGCCCACTCAGCACCCCGTCCCCCCCAGACCCGAAGCTCACTGTGAGCCCCCATGCTTCCCTGGTGACCTCACCCCAGATCTTGCCTTTCGGGCCCGTGCCTCCTCAGTCTTCCCAGCCATCTCTGTTCGTCTTATCTCTGGCTCTTGCACAGATATCACACCCTGCATGCCTCATGACTAAAGATTCTGCGGCTTCCCCCCAGCCATTTCCCACCCTGTCCTCGTCTTCCTTAGAAATTCAGCATGTTTGTCAACTGCTCTCAAGCAGAAATGGTCAGGACACAGGGCGGGGCACCCTGCAGAGCTG